TTATTATTTTTATTTTATTTTATTTTTTACAGTGCATTAGAACTCATTGCTCTGCTATAGCCACACATTCACTTCAGGAAATTCTGTGACAAAAGGCAAGTTCCTTCCGCGTTGTAAGTTACCTGCTTGTTGAGCACTGGTTGCTGCATTCCGTCAAACAGAAGCCTGATGCCTTCGTATTTAGCCTCTTCCCCAATGCACTTGCCTATTAAATCTAGAGCAGATACCAACAACAAACACACAAGTCATTAGGAAGCATTGCAAAACAGCTATACAACGCAGTTACACAACTCCAGTAATTACAAAAAAAAAAAAAGTTTAATTTAAAGAAATAGTTCAAATCCATCTAAAGTGGTCAATGGAGAAGGAGACACTCCTTTGGTTCCTCCTTTTTTCCTCCCTTTCCTTCAGGGCTGTACATGTAAGCAATTATTACACTTTTTATAATATCCACGTATTGTCCTAACATATTGTTTAATAAACCACAAGCCGTAATTTTTTAATTACTTTCTGAATAACGTAGTAAATGGGCCCCTCTTCTCTAGTTTATACAGTGTAAGGAAAGCAGAGATTTCTCTTCTGGCTTCATGGTGTGCCTTTTGAACCCAGATTTCATCTGGATAAAATACAAAACATAGGAGAAGCCTAAAGATGAAGAAATTATGGTATTAAGTAAAGCTTTTTATTTCCATCCTATCTTTATTAGTAACTATGCCACCACCTTAGTCAGCAACACGTAAGCGATGAAACTGAACTCCCCGTTTTTTACACCTAGGAGCAGTATTCTAGTCAACTCAAATCTCAGCAGCACAAGTGTTATTTGGAAAGCTAACGTGACTGTATTGGGGTTGTATCTGCTTGAACAATTAACCATGCTTATTGGAGAGTCATGAAATACAGAACCTGGAATGTATCTCATCATTTCTTCAAACGTCTGCTTTGCTCGCTTCTGTTTGTCCTGGAGAGAGCGAGGTTCAGTGTTCTCACAGAACACAGCATCTGCACATCGAAAAAAAGAAGTCTTTAGGCAGCTATGCATCACTGACATATAAAATGGATTTTGGATTATGGCTTTGAAGTTGAGCTTCTTTTCTGTATGATCCTGACTGTAAGAGAATTCCAGCCTTGACAGATCAAAGTGTTTTGCTGACATCAGCCTGACTTCAGAATACCCCACCTGCATTGAGGACAATAATCTTTCGCCAATTTGTTTCCATTCTTTTCAGATTTTTAAAGCATTATCTTCTTGGTTTGGATCAATTCTACTCCAGGTTAGTTATGATCTCCTTATTTACCATTTCCCTTATACTTTCAAAATTATAAGTAGTATTTATACCTTGTGCTAAAACACTGTCTGTCACTGTCAAAAATTTCAGATTTACCTACGAATGAGAAAACAAGAACTGCTTTCATCAGAAATATCAGGCGTTCAGTTTTGGTTGCAGGCTCCAAAAGACTTATTCCTTTCCTTTTTTGTCTTTCACAAGCTTTCTTTTTGGCTCGATAAGGACAGAGTTGTCTTGATCCCAGAACTTTGGCCAGATGTATTGTTTAGATCAGACACTAGTCAGATAAGATTTCTCTACGGTTATGACATCATTAAAAAAATTTTTTTAACCTCTCTCCCCATCACTTATTTGAAGGTCAAGAACACTCAAGCCCTCTAAAAAGCCCACCACAACAAAGGGAACAAAAAATTCACAATAAAGGACTGTGATGTAGCACACAAGTGAAAAATAATTTACAGACTGCCTGAAATATTTGCACTCTGATACACTAAGCCACCTTTATTCGGTTTTTCTTGTTCTTTGCGCATCTTAGTGTCGTGGGTTAAGCAAATTACTATTCATAATACTTTTGTCTGTAATCATCACGGACAGACAATGTGGCTGACTCAGCATCCTTCCGCACCGAGCTTTTGGAATTTTTCTATAGGCCCACTTGATTTTTAAAACTCCGTTAGCCTTAATCAAGCACTCCAAAGTTCAGTACTTGGAAACTTAATAGAAGGGATTTCAAATATCAAACGAAAGCTGTATTTTCACATCAAAGGTGTAACTCTTTACTAACCTCTCAGCAGCGTTATCAGAGAAACCAAGCGGTGCTCCTGAAATAGCTGTTCTAGCTTACAGTGCAAGTAATAGTCTGTGTACAGTTCCAGTGTATTTTTGAAGAGAATTCTTCCTCCCATCAAGAGGTGATGCAGCCAGTCAGGAATGCGGAAAACCACCCTGCCTGCAAAGTTGTTACAGTAACACACGTTTAGAATAGTCTCCTAATAATGACGATAAAGGGGTCACTTACTCAAAGGAAGAAAAGATTGCAAATAAGCAAATACTGGTTTTCTTAGTGCCATGATGAAAAATCACTGTTCTCTAGACTATTTATGAAATACTTCTTTTAACTATTTTTTATTAATTAGTTCCCAGAGTGTACAAGCAGCCCAGCCACGTCTGAGAAAAGGGAAGGGACCTACTCCCACAAGCTCATACTCTGCAATGCAGAAAGAGCGAGCTGTAACAAAACCACCGAGCAATAATGAATGAGAAATTATGATATTTTAGCACAGCAATAAAGTCTTTTGAAGAATGACTGTATTCCTAAATTCTATATTGTTAAGCTTGCAAGTGCTGAATTATACATGATTACTAAAATAGAGTTTTATTTCTTACCGAAGAACCTAAACTTCATATTTGACATGAAGTGTAAGAATAATTAAGAGAAATCACTTCTTACCAACATACATTAAGTAGTCATAGACCCCTTCTACTGTCACCATTTCCATGAAGTAGTTCTGATTTTGTCGTCTTTCTGTATTCTCAGACCGGTTTGCATTATTCTTGAATAAATCACTGAAAAGCTAAAAATAGAAACGTAAGACTGAAAACGCTGCATTCAAAGGCAAAAAGATAGCCATTAGTTCTTTTTTTTTTTAATTAGAAGTAATTTTTTTCCAGAGCTTTCAAAGAACTAATCAGTTTTCCTTCTCTCCCACCCCCCCAACTCTTCACTTTCCAAAGGGGAAGGAAAAATAAAGACTGTGTCACATTTCGCCACAATACCCAACAACCAAAATACCTGGATTCAGAACAAATCAGCAGGGCGACCGAGACACTAATTCGTGAGCCCGTTTGGTCCTGATGCCTTAATGTATCCAGAGTTTTATCACAGGCTTTGATTCCTTTGATGCACCCCATTCTGTCAATGGGGGGCATAAAGGATACGGATTTTGTCAGCCTCAAATCACCGGGGAAATCTACGACATCCAAGTGTGCCGACCATTTCCTGCTGGCTTCCATTTTGAAATAAATACAACGGTTTCTGGACAATATCCAGAAATATCCCCTTTTCCCCTGTCAGCTTGATTATTTATAGCAAAAACTTCATGAATTTTTTTGTAAGTTACCAAAGTTTGGGTTTCTTTCCATTTATCCTATTTCTCATTTTATTCCTTTATCTTTCTATCTTCCCATGTTCCCCCAGCACCACCACGATCCCTCCACTTCCTTACCTTTGGTTCTTCCCCAAAAGATACAATTATAATACTTGTAAAATCCCAAGAGGCTCTTCCCTGCATCCCCTAGGGAGTCCCATACCACCTAGGCAGTAATCCCTCCCCATCCCCACCAAGTCTGTGGGCTCCAGCAGCTGGAAAGGAGAAGTTCTCAGAATCCTGAGGTTCTCCACATTTGACAATACCTAGCAATCACAATTAACAGTTTATTTTAAATTATCTTATCCCCAAAACTGTTGATCTAAAGATAAAAAAGAATGTATACAAAATACTCTATATTATGAAAAGAAAGTTCAAAAGTTTATGCCAAGATTCTAAAAAAAATACCCCAGAACTAGAAGCAAAAGCAACATAATTATAGCATTGCCCAGGCTGAGATGATTGCTACTGACACAGCTTTTTCTGTATCACTCCCAAATTAAAAATAGCTTCAAGGAACAGGAAGTAATTTGCTTATACGTGGTTCATTTTCTGCAGAGCAATTCCTCCTGAAATAAATAAGTCTATAAAAACACCCAAATCCCAACAGGCTCTGAACCACGCAAGTCTCCAAACGAATGCTCGGCACTCTTAAGTAAAATTACATCAGAAAATCTGGCAAGACTGTGAAGTGCTGAACTGCTGGCATTATCTTCACAAAGTTCACTCAAACTAAACAACACCAAGTTATTACATAAATTACATGAAAGAGCAAATCTGGTTCATGCACTGGTGGGTAACTGGTATCCAGGAAAGTAAGAAACCTAAAAAAGAACACATAATAACTCATGCCTACTGTACAAAAGCCTCCCTGGTACGTTGTTTAAAAAACCCTCTATAAACTGAAGTCTATATTCTCCTCAATACTGAAACTAGTACACTGGGAAAATCTTCGTTGAATTATTGAACTTAAACAAGAACCTCATTTATTTTTTAGATAGACCCCATGACCTGACAGAGGCGATACGCACTGACCCAACTCAAAGCAAACTATTTTGCAACATAGATATAGGTTCAGAGGAGGGCATACAGGCCAAGCTAAATCATTAACAGCAGTCTGGTAGGTGATCTATTAAAAAAAAAAAAAAATCAAACATGAAGGCCATCTTAGTACAAAGCTTTCTGACTTCCAACAGTGATTTCAACTTTCACCCCAAACCAGCAGCAGTATCTTTTGAATGCCGTCTGTACCTCTGTCTTGAACCTTAAATGTAATGGTTCCTTGATCACTGCCAAGTTTCAAGAGCTTGGACTCTTGCACGTGGCATTTCAGAAAGCAAGAGCAGATCGATACACGCTGGAATTCCTAAGGCAACGAGCAGTTTGTATAAAGGATGTACTCTGCACTATCCCAGTACAAGCGTGTATTCTATAGTCGCGGTCAGCAGCGCACATCGGAAGGATGCAGCAGCCAGAACACCAAGTGGCACTACATCTCTGCTCAGGCGGTTTGGACTTCTCAGGGTTTTGGCTCAGAGGAAAGCCAAGGGAAAAACACACAACTAGAAATCTAATACAAAAGTGGAGATTAAAGTCACGATTCAAATAAGCACAGGATTTTGCTTTTAAATGTTTCTGTGCATGTTAATATTAGAGGCATGATAGAATGCTCACTGTTGTCATTAGACTTGAAAAAGACAAGCAAGACCAACTCCAACATTATCATTATTCATATATTTTAGGACTAAACTGCAACTGTGATTATAACCAGGAAATATTCTTAAAAGGCTTTCAATGGGGAAATTCCATGGATTGATACTGGCTAATAACGGAAGCCAAGCTCTTGAAGCGAGTGGAAGGTAAAAGGTCTGTATTAAGAAAAAGACAAAAGTAATCCCTCGTACGATAGACTAGCTACTGTACCTTGAGGGGGAAAGCTAGCTAAACAAGTACGAATGCTTACGTAAAGTGCCTAATAGAAACAAGGAAGTTACAGAAGGTTTACGAGTGCATATGAAATACACACCCATACATTCCAGCATAGGTGTGAAGATTATAGAAGCAATACCATGATTATGAACAATATCCACAGCCAGAGGCATCAACCTCCTCACTTTTTCCTGCTCATTTGCAAAGTACAGATAACTTTAGTAAAACGGCAAGAAGAAAGAATGTATGTAGTATCTGAACCACATCAGTTCATGTATTGAAAACCAACCGTGTCTTCCCCCAAGGAACTATTCATAAACGTGCATTATGCTATTGGTGTTCCAAAAGCAGTTTTTATTGCTGCTGGCAGGTCACCACAAGCCAGCAGAACAATGTCTTGGTACGCATATTTTGCAAAGTCTGCATCAGCTGAGAAGTCCTGACCTATTCTAGCACGTTTGACAAAAGTACATTTGGAAGATGATCGAGCTGCTTACAGACCTTCAGAACAGAAACAGAGCTGGGACAGCCAGAAATCCTGTTGGTGTCCCTAGGAGGGGGGAGCAGGGTTTTTTCTTCGCTTGTTTAACATCAGGGAGGTTGGTAACTCTTTCAGTCTAGTGGATCTGATACAGGATAAAATCCAATCATCACTGGCTGGACTAAGGTTGACCACCCACCTTCATTATGCACTTGTAACCAGAAGTCTTTCCACCAGTATTTAAAAACATACAAACATCCACATGTGCCAGGAATACTCAAAAAGCAGCAGTATGCAGAAAATCTTTCAGAGAAGGAGTACATTTCTGATTGAACTCCAGCTTTCACCTGCCCTGACAGACTTTCAGGCATTTCTTACTCAGCCTGTTGATGAAGAGGCAGCCTGGGCGCACCCTGTTCACAGCAACAGAGCTGGCAGCACAAGCGCCGGGGAACACGTACGGTACTCTCAGCAAATTCCAACATGCTGATACTAGAATAAGCAGATCTGTGTCAGACAAGGTGTATGGGAACACTGTCGCAATACAAGCATCAGCTGGAAATTGACTCTAGCTTTTACCAAAAAATTCTGTGTTGAAGAACCTTCTTGCTATGAGATAACATGCTCTTCTCACAGGTGGGCAGTCGGAAAGTGCCAGCCTTGCCTCTCCAGCTGCCTGCCAGGTCTGCTCACTGACTCCATCCAGGCAGCCCATTGCAATCTTGATACAGACAGTTAGCGTTCATCCCCACCACCAGGCGGTAAGGGTGCCGGGCTACTGCTCCGTGCTTCTGTCTTCATGAAGATGTCATGTGGCACAACAGAAGTGAAACTGCAGAACTGAACAAAGTCTATGCCACGTGTGTTTGGAGGGCTAGGGAGGGGTGTTACCTCCGTGTACCTCTGGTCTGGACACCCCTGGTGCCTGCATTCCTAGACAGCATTTTCCAGCTCAGTTTCAACCAAAATTAATTCAGTTAACGAGTTCTAAGACAGCTCCCCAGTAGGAGAGAAAATGCAATAAGCAGATAGATCAGAAGATTTGCTTCCAAAAACCATCACTGATCTGAATTAGAACAGCCTGGCACATGAAACCAGCGTGGCTCACAAAATCCAAGAAGTGACAAGATGTAAGTGGCACCGTGTCCTGGCACCTGGCACAAAACTTCTCCCAAGTGTGGGCTGGCTTGAGAAAGAGAAATCTGTCTTCCAGAGAAGGCACAAGCACCAACAGATCAGCAAGAGGGATGAATTTCACAACGTGCATGGGAAGGCACCGGAGAGACCATAACGCAGCACAACCTGGGATATCAGATCTCTACTAATTAAGAGTTATTGTCTGAGTAAGCGTGTGCGCTCTGGCTAAACTGGTAGATGGGAAATTAGTGAGAATGCAGTCAGCACATGAATTCCGCGTGCATACATGCCTTTGCTGGTCAGAACTGGTAGTGTAATTCCAGCACAAACAGATACTGAGTATCTGATCACAGAACTGGCTTGCAGCATCCCCCAAGGCAAAGTGTCTTGAGTGCCCATCATTAAATAACATCATTGCTCTGCAGGAGATATGCTGAAGTCTGAAACTTTCCATTCATGTCAAGAAAATGGCTCCCCAAAAGAGATTTATTTTGGGAAAGAAAAAAGAAAATCTAAAATATATGAAGAACCAACTACTTAATTCATAAAACAGCCGACAAGGATAAAGTTGTTTAGAAAAACAGTGAACTCACTCTCAAAATAGACAGAGAGAAGGAGTGGAGAGCTGGGGCTAGCCTCATCTTTTTTGCTCTCTGCAAAGAAACTTGTCCCTCATGACAAAAGCACCTCCTACAGGGTAACTGGCACTGCTAGCAGCCACTTTGGCTCAGACCCTACAAACCTGTGTCGCAAATGGAGTGCACGGACGGACAGTTTGCCTTCCCCCACAACAGTATTTCAGAAAACAGAAGGCAGTAATGTCATTTTCAAAAGATCTACATTTTGCTTAAGGAAACTTCAGTATTCCAAAATGTGAGCCAAAGTGCAGCCAGCTCTTTGCTTTCCTGGGATTACCAGGGTTGAAAAGAATTGGGAAAACCTCATTTCAGAGCCTGAATTTCTGTACACTGTTCTTTTACAAGAATAGCATACTGACACTTCAGAGAATGAGTTTGTATTTTAACGGAGCAATGCTATATACATTTTTTAACCTTTTACAATCCAAAAAATTTTGAACACCACTTTAAAGGATTAATCTTGATCCTTTAATATTAAGTTTTTCAAGCAAACTACAGAAAGAACTCTGTCTTCATAGAAATCCTTCAGAGTGCAAAGTTCAAATATTTTATTTAAGTATGTTAAATGTATTAAATACTAACTTCAGTAGTTCTTGACATCACAGTAAAAAATTAACTGTTCATATTGTGCTGTAGTATGCTGTCAGCTGTTTTATAAAAAACATTTCAAGTATTTAAGCCTGTACTGTTTCTAGCACAAGTCAAAAACTCTACCTCTGATTTTTAAAACTGCTGCTACATTCATACACCTCTGAATAGACAGCAACAGCAAATTACCTGAACCCTGGAAATAGTGCCCAAAGTAAGAAAGGACTTGAAATGAAGGACACTTAATTTTGTGTGTGTATGTGCACAGGTAAAGTAATACTACAGCATTGGCTGCAGTAATTCAGACTTCAGGATTAGAAGATTAAATCCAAACAAATTAATAGATTTAACTGCCATTGTACTCAGTATAAAAAATTTTGCAGCTACAAATTCTGTAAGTGTCATAACACTACATAATTGTCCATTGTGAAGGAAATCAAAAAGTCCATTTTTTCAACAGTCCATCACCAACAAGAACCGCAAATGGATCCTGGGCTTCTAGCTCGTGCAAGAAGAGAACGAGCATAGACAGTACTTTTCACCAACACTCTTCCAGCCTGCAATTGTTTTCAACTAAAAAAAAGTTCAAGAGCTGGATGCAGTTTCTCTATGGGTACTCACCCTGAATATACTTCCTTTTTGTGAATTTGTCCAGTCTTACCTTATAGTTATTTAAACTTCTAGTGCTCGCAACATCTTTTGGCAAGGAGTTCCACAAACTTACTACCACTTTTTGTTTTGAATCTAGCTCCTACCACCTTCATTTAATGCCTCTTAGTTTTTGCTCTGGAAGAGAGAGGGGAAAAAAACAAACACCAAGCCCCAACCTTTATCCGCTGTCCACTCATGCCATACATTATTCTTTAAACTATCATACAACTCCAGTTTATCACTCTGCAAAATGAAGCCTCGGTTTACATAGTCCAGTTTCAACTCCTCTTCCCAAAGCAAATGAGACATCAGAAAAGCATATAGTACTGAGTTTTCTTTTAGAACCTCTCACATGGCAAAGTGTATGCACATTGAATATTTTATCCCAAATCACATCAACTCTATAACACTGCGCTTGGGTCTCTGAAATCCTAGTTCCTCGGTAAATTCCACAAATACATTAACACTCTAAAGCAGTCTAACACAGAACTATAAAGACCAGCGTCTTTTTAAAGCCCCAAAGCTAACGGAAGTCTTTCAAGTAACCTTTACCAGGCTCTAGCCACAAATATAGGAAGACTAAGAAAGGAACTGTTTTAACATATAGTCAAGTAAAAGGTTAAAATTCGGAGTGCTAGGCTTTAACTGTGGCAATGTTAGAAACTATAGTTATGGAGTTAACTTAATTTGTATGCCAGACATCAATGAACTGCAAACTAATGTTTTAATGGCCAAGAAACAGGTATCAGCACCTTGCAGAACTTTGACAAGCCACACTTTGATCAAACACACAAGCTCTTCACTTTGAAAAGGAAGCTCCCTTATGGCATTAGAACATTCCCCCATTTTACACCTTTGCTTTCCCTTTTCTTCTCTCTGTACTTCCCAGGCTCTCGACTCTGTATTCTCATCTTGAAATCCAGCAAGAATTAAAAATCAAAACCCAAACCAAAAAAAGCCTCAGAAGTCATTCAGACTAAGAAATTTACAAGATAGAAGTTGACAAAGCTCTCTGCACTACTATTCTCTCTCTTGTGTCAATAGACAACACAAAATAGGTAAGCTGTTATATTTATGGGTTTTTTCTGTTTATTCTTTGCGTTTTCAGAGCATGGTCAATTTTCCCCACTCCTGTAAAGTGGGGAAGGAAGATGACTTACTTTACCTTCTTGTTATTTTCAGAAGTGGGACTCAAAATGGTAAGTTCAGGTCTACTTGGTTTAGGCTTGGGAGATTCACAGGAGTTGATAAAATTCATAATGAACGGCTCCAAATGCTGACCTTTCTGCAATAAGATATGAGTGACCCGTCACTTGCATAATTATAGAAAGAAAAATAAAACACAGAGTTTCCAAACAAATTTTTTACTAGCTTGTAAATCAGTAAGCATGTAAAATTAGTTTAGAAGTTAAAATGCTGGCAACCTGGAAGACTTACCTCTTTCATCAACTTTCCTGGAACAGATTTTATAATTTTACCTATAATTAGAAACAAACAAACAAAAACTTTCTGTTATCACTGCCTGATCTTAAAGACATTTTGCTCTTCTACATTTTAGGTACTCATTGTCTAGTATTTAATTTAAAAATACAATAGTTTTAAAAATCAGTTTAGGTTTTTTTTAATTTGGCACAAAAATAAAGGCTTGCACATATCCAGCTTAATGCTTACTACTCTTCAAGAAAAGATACTTAAAATATGAAAAATATACAGGTGATTATCTGAATACTTCAAAAACAAAAAGCAAAGTACCCTAGACCTGCCTTTGTAATTCTTCTAGAGGCTCAAACATAAATTCCTATAATGCCATAGCAGCAATACTATATGACACCAGTATAGGCACCATTTTCTGTATTTGAGTTCTTCATAAACATTTATCACAAAAGAAATCACGAAAACTGAGATTCTCCTCTTTTCTTTAAAAGATCAGCTAATCTGGAGGGATTCTGGAAGGACTCAGTCTTGAAAATACTGGTGAGTAAAGTTTTACAAATTGGACAGGCTACAGATGCAGTCTGACAAAATCAGCTCTTCTGTCCAATTGAGGTTATCAGGGTACAGCACAGTGACTTTGAATGCTGAAATATCACAGTGTCTGGAATGAGTTTTATTTTAAGCACTACATTTACAGTAATATTTTTCTTATTTACATGTCATTAAATTTGGAAGTTAAGTCCAAAAGTACATACAATGATCAAATGATAGTTATAAAATCACTCATTCTCACAAAAAATGACAAGACTTTTAAAAATTATGTTTATGGACGTGAACCATAGTCTCAGACATGAGATGCATGACAGTAAATGCCATCATTATAAGCTTTTTTTAAAACAACATATCGTTGGATCTAGAAGGGAGGTCTGAAACGAAACAAAACCCTTTAACTGGAGAACGATCACCTAAATCTCATTCAACAACTTGGTAAGCACGCTAAGAGAATGGCCACCTCGGCGGGTTCACACCACGAGCGGGAGGAGCAGAAATGTGGTGGCACAGTTCAGCCACGGCTTTCCTGGACCATGCCAGTGCCAGAACCACAAGTCCTAGACGAAAACAGAAAGGCCAGGAGGTTGACCTTACCAGCTCAGGCCCGTTCTCCTGAGACAGCTCCATGAAGTCACACTGCAGTCTACTTTTTGGATCTATTATCAACTATTACATCAGACAGCAAGAATTTGCCAACGTCTCAATGTCCATTTGGCCTGCCTATATCGCAAACACCACTGCCTCAAATTCTATTAAGCAGCTCATGTTAGAAGAGATCTAGCTAATACTAGGAATATTAAATATTGCAGTTTTCATATTAAAATAAACAGATTTTGATCAACTAACACCAAAACATAGCTGACATTAAGAAACTATATATCCCGTCACACCTGTAAGCCATAACTGTCTTGCACAGATGTGACTTGTGGCAATACTATAACTCTCCTTGAACTCCGAAATTTGTTAGAGAAATCTTATCGCCTTGGTTGCTGACACAAAGATTCAAAAGCAACCACTTCAACGCTTTCTTCCATAATCTCAAAATGTCCTTTTTCTTCAAAGAAGAAGTATCAGCATATCCTGCTCAATGAGCTATAATTTGAAGGGCTGTGAAAGAACAGAGTTCTTATGTCCCACATCTATATCCTTACATAAGAGTTATCCATTACTATTCTCATTCAACCACAGTATCTACAGTATTACTATTTGTCAGCATAAACAACTAGCACATTACATACCAAGGTTCACATCAGGCAACATTTTATCAAGAAACTGAGTCTCTCCTCCATTAGGGGACAGGAAGTCAGCTAAAAGCTGGCTGTTACTTAGTTCTGGATGTTGCAGAAGTTTCTTTGAGACAGAAGCAAAGAAAGAAGAAAAGAACTTTAATCTTTAAAAATCGGTTTCTCTATAGCTAAAAGATATTCAAAGAGCATTGTATTACCATAGATACTGTCATTCGCAAAAGATTTCTGTTTTCAGTCACATGAAACTTCAACAAGTGTTATTTGCCAACTTGTACCCTTTCTATAACTCAAGCTACTTGGAAACAAAAAAAAAAAAATAGCAGATATTCTTTTATTATGACGTTATTCCTTGCTCCAAAGGTTTGTTTGATACCTGCAGATATTCCTGAAACTCCTCTCTCTTGGATTTTAAGAACTCATAGTTCTTGGGGCCAATGATTCTCTTTGAAGGAAGCTGAGCATCAGGAAATGTACCTGAGAAAGATATCAAGGAGATAAAATTATTCTTGTAATGCAGAAAACATTGATTATTTTAAATTTCAGGTCATTACTGAATGATAATCACAGCAGTGGGAACGTGGCTTTCCAGATGATAGAGACATACCATGAAATTCCGTTAGCTTCGACTCAAGCACATAAAATTCAAGATACCTCCTGTACACAGACCAGTGTTCAGGTTCATGCCCAACTGGGGAAAAAAAAAATTACAATGTTAAAGATAAACCAGGTTTTATGCCACCTGAGACACACATCAAGCAACAGTAAATTTATTCCGGATTATTATAGGAAAAAACACAATGATATTACGCCCCCATATTGCATTAACATAAAAAAAAAATCCCAGCCAAGTAATTTAAGTGTTAAATTAAAACGCATACCTGGTAGGCAGATATAGTAGTAGCATGGAAATTATCATCTCAATCATCATCATAATCTCATTTTAGGGGATGCCCAAGATCTAAACAATGGAGCACTGCATAACTCCAACATTTATTAGGGCTCACTATGTCAGATCTATTTTCAAACTTTTAACCAAATGATTGACACAAATACTACTTGTCAAATACAGTCCTCTGCACCATCAGCTTGAATCCTGATCACTCTTCCTCCTAGAAGATATCACTAATTCCTAAACACTTCCTGCTTATTGTAGAAGCATTAGTTTCACTAACACAAATCTGTGCAGCCTCAGGATGATGCTATTTTCCCCACTCACTATGGATGTACAGCTAACTAGATACTGATAAACTGTCTGCAAGCCAGGATTGTTCCTAATAAGCAAAACATTTTAATTTCCTAAGAACTATATTTTAAGGTTATATAAAAAGTTATTTATTGTTCATTACTCCAAAGTTTGGAGTGGGTGAAATAAAAGCGTGCCAAGTGTTTATTAATATGAATAGCAGGATGAATATTTTTGGAAATAAAAAAAATAGAAAATCTCAAACTTTGGCAAGAAGTCTAAACAGAACTGATTCATGTTGAGAAGTCAGTTCTCAACTTGCAAATGGTAAATGTGATTATTTAGCTCTCAAATACATTTCCTCAGAATTTACAAGTCTTCATTTCAAAATTAGAACAACATGTATGCAAAATACACTGCAACAGCCATCAGAATATAGCACACTAGAATATTTTGAGTTCATTTTAAAATGACATTTTATTTATCCACAACAATGCATACCTGCTCTTCTATCATTTCTCTCTACATCAATGCAGAACACAGGGATTCTCTCCTTTCTGTCTTTTCTTTCCAAGGAGGGATCATCAAAAAAATCTACATATGGGATGCTAATTTTCCATGCGGCAAGGTTGCGGGGTGTATTTGGGGTACTAACAGGCTCCTCAGGAGAATCATCTTCCATCACCATAACACCTTCTTCAATCTGTAAAGATTCAAACATCAGGATCTACAGTTCTATTTTAATTGGTTCAGTCTACCTTTGTCAAACTTACATACAATAATGAAACATAAATCAAGTATGTGTCACTAAGTAATACAAGAACAAAAAATTAATTTCTGTTTTTAGATCCACTGCAAATTAATTTGAAGTTAGCAACTCTTAGTGACATCTGAAAGTTTTTGTAGGACTTTCAAGTTCCATATCTGATTCTTCAGAGGAAAAACAAAAACGGGAGGGGAATAGAAGTACGAAAAGAGACAGCTGGAAGAATGCCTTAGACACAGACTGAATCCTATAGGAACCAACTTGGGTCCAGCAGATTTAGCTGCACTGCATTGTCCAGCATACTAGAACCCAAATTAAAGACTTGAGCTTACTATGTCAGGCAAAGAGTCTCCACCACTTTATGGTTTTAAGGTCTTAGGGCAAGCTTCAGATGAAAAGCCATGCACGCAGTCCTATGCATACCTTACTATGCAGAATTATAAACTGGCATAGGAAGTTTTTAGAGAAAAATTCATTGCTTACAAAAATGTCTGACACCACTACTTTTAGTACTTCTCTGTATTAAAGCAATATGCTCAGAGGCAGACTAAGTGGGGACATGGCTTTGGCTTGTGAACAAATACAGGAAAAACAATCAGAAGCCAGCACATGGAAACCCTGCAGTGAAGTAAGACAGCAAAAAAGGCAGAAACTTAACATTTGCAAACACGGAAAGAAACAGCAACAACAAAGACTTAAATACTTAAATACAAATTTAAAACTTTTACTCACAAAGTCATCTTCTCCTTCGTTCAAGTTGTAGTTAGGCAACATAGCTCCTTCCATTGCAGAACTCTTGAACACACCTTTTATTTTGTTGCCTATTCTGCTGATTCCAAACGATTCTCCTCTCTTCTGTGTGGTCCTAGGATTACAGAAGCCAGAGTTCACAACACAAGGCATATTATCACACAGCAGCTCTACAGGCTGTTGCACACCACTTGCAGGTAAGAGAAAAAACTCCACAAACTAGTAGCCAATATATTTACAATACCACTTAAATTGAAATTAATTTATGGCAAATGTGTTCTCTGATCGATCAGAAAAATTTCTTGATCACGCTTGTCAGAGATATGTGATTCGCATATGCTTAACCATGAGCAAACATTAACTCTTATAATACTACCCTAGTAATGCAGGACATCGAATAAACAAATTAACTATGCAAAACAATTTTGTTTTGACAGCGGAAACTGTCGTATTGCTACAGGCACGCACATCAAGAAGGTCACTGTCCTTTTCCATGTATTCCTATTTAAATATTTATCCACTCTTGCCAAGTACTTTAAATCCTTTAAATGGTGTAATTGGATGCATGTTTTTTTTACATAAACATCCCAGATTTTTACAAGCATGTATGATTCAAGATAGACTTCGACTTTTAAACATTAGGGACACGCAAAAGGAATGTGCAAGGAGCAAGACTGACCACGAGGGAAAACAGATCCAACTGAAGAATTTTGTCTTGAAGAGCCAGCCTGACTGAAAGATGAAGACCTTTTAAAGTCTTCCCACTTATGACACAGTATCCAAAAAGCAATAAGGTGTGGAAAAAGAACGATAATTAGACAGGAAGTGCACTCCTTACTGAGAGAGCAGATTTTATAGCATTCTTATGCCCTTACATAAAACCTGACACTGAAGATTATTTCTTGCATAGAAATGCCAATAATTCCGGAAAGAAAAATGTTTCTGTTGAACATGGATGGAATCAGCTGAAGGTTACCTATGGTGATTCAATAAATATCATTGATAGGCAAGTTAAAAATCAATACAGTGAACTGTAGAATCAAAGACTCAAAAGAACTTCATAGATTACTGAGATTAAAAGCACAATTAGTACTTTAGAGGACCAAAAAATAATCCTAAGTGTTTCTTTTTCCTTTAAAACAGACAAACAAAAAAGTTAACTACTGAAGAGTAGGACCAACAAAACAGCACAGACCAGCAGATAAACCATCTTCATCACCCATAAAACCACGTTAACAACATCAACCGCTGACTCAGGACATGCATGTGTGTTACTAACAATTTTCCTGTTTATAATTTTACCCAGTTTGTGTACATTATTAAATTGCATAAATAATCCACTGTTTTTCCAAATCTTTTGCTTTTTCTATCTCATAGTATTATCAGATCCAAAGCAGACAAACGTCTTACTTATCTCTGCTAACCAAAGATAAGGTTGCTTGGGTGTTTGTAGTCTAAATCCATGTTTGAACAATTTTACTTGATTTTTAAACAACCTATTCTACACGTTATTGTGGTGAACTAAACTTACATTGGGGACCTACCTGAATCTTGTTCAAGAGCTTAATCACTGCGCTAGCAAAATACAAACCTGATTCAGACAAAACTATTCAGCTTTTAGACCTGTGGCTTGAGTCTTGAAGAAGCTTTCATCTTTCCTGGGAAAACTTGTGCAGTTCTCAAGATTGTGAGCAAAAACATTAATTTGCACAAGCTCAGAGATTTGATAAGAGTACTCCCGGCTCAGATGAGTTCTTTCCCACACTGATCATGCTCCAGCTGAAGGCAGAATACAGCTTTGCCTGTAACTGCAGGACTGGGCTGTACGGAGCCAGGACTCAACCTGATCGCTAGGAACCAACTGCCCCAATGCTGAGCCCAAAGTTCACGCCTAAGCAATACAGAGCAATCACTAAACTGGAACAGGTACAAAGTGACAAACTAAGATGGGATCTCTTTGCAGGAAGAGACACAAATTCACAACAAGCAGTGGTAAATAAGAAGGTATACAGAGACATGGTGGACAACGCATGGGGAGAACGTAGGACTGTAGGACTGCTTTGGCAAAAATCCTTGAGCAAGCACACAGAGCACAAAACAGATTGGATGAGCATGCAAAAAATCTGGGGATGTTCACAGAGACAGACAGACAACAGGATGATCAATCTTTTGAGGATGCTGAGCAAGAAAAAACAAAAAAAACCCACTCAGGCATGAGGATGAAAATCCAATAGATTCACTGGTTAAGTAGAAACAGAAGAAAGAACTTAAGGGTAGGTGGAAGGGAAGAGATGGGACTAGGATATGGCCAGGTTAAAGACAAAGGGGAGGAAAGAGGAAAGGAGGTGGCCAGCTTAGAATGAAGACCAAGTCTTTCAAGAACTGTCAATTCTTCTACTGTCAACAAATATATATATACAAAACTCATTGGGAAAAGTATGCCGCTCCCTCTAGTGCTGATCCACATAACAGCATTATTAGACTCTCATTCTATAGTTGCTTTCGTGGCAGGGCCCCGAGAGTCTACAGATTCAACATTTCTTGATGAACGATGGGACAAGGAGGGGTTGGAACGCTTTTTTTGTTTGTTTTTTTTTTTAAAGCTCCAGAAGTCACACTCGCTTAACATTAAAAAATTACAATTGTTGTTCACTCTGTAGCTGGGAATTGCAGTCCAGAGATTGCATTAGTACCACTATGCACTGTGGTATTCTTTAATCATGGATGGTTGCAAAACAATTTTCTTGCATGATCCCTGCATGCATAAAAGATATTTACATGCATGTGAAGTCAAAGTGTTATTTTTCCTTTGGCTGACTAAAACCCCTACACCCAATTAGGAGGAATGCTGAGCACGTAGAGCTGCTCTCGAAAAATCAGTGAACTGCACTTACGTCCCAGGTATTTCTTATTGCTCAACACTCTTAGCACATTGTAACTCAATACACCGAACTGGCACATAAAAGACAAACAGTGTCTATATACCTTGATTCCTAACCTGTAAAATGAAGCTGATAATGTCCCCTCAAGACTGAAGAATGGTATGAGTAATATATTGAATGCTAATGCTCTGACAAATTGTAAGGAAAAGCCCACAATGAAAAAAATGTTTTCTGAGTTTGGATAGCATGTATTTAAAGAGGCATGGATAATGAGAAAACAAAGCATTGAACAGCTATTAAGTCATTAATGAGTGACCACAGACTACCTAGAGCAAATGATAAAAAATAGCATATGCTGTAATCAAACCTGTAACAGTCACAAGAAAAGCTGCAGAGAACTAATTTGAGGAATTGCTGGCTTTGAGTGCTTGATAATATTCATTAAATGGTTGTATTGGAATGCAATGTTAGGCAATGATCATCCTGGACACAGCTGTGCAAGGTAAAACAAGCAGTTAAGTGGATAAAACCTCAAACAGGATCTGGAAATGGGACATGGAGTCAAAAAAATTTTGGAGCAGGCAGCAGTCACAGGCCAAAAAAAAAAAAATCTTCAAGTTAAGCAAATTCTTTCAAGACTAATACGAGACAGCTCGTTAACAGCAAACAATATTAATATGCTGCAAACTGGTGAAATTAGTAATTAAGCAATTTCTAAACACTTGTGAAGAGGACATGGGGAGTAAACTTATTGTGGGGAGAAACATGATTTAGTCCAGAGAAGACATTCACATTTTTGCAAATAAAATGGACAGTTAATTGCTGTTAAAAGACTGGGTGGTGCAGTCATGATAGACGCAGCATAACTAACACACAACATTTACTGAGTGTTAGAGAGACTTACCGGAAGTCATCCAAACTCAGGCTACTTCTGCAACAACAGGCACATAAATTACCGCAGAGCCCAGGAGAAAATAGTGTTAAAACAAAACAAAAACCAACAACAACAAAAAAAAAAATTGACAGACCTATCTCAACAAAACTGAATAGGCTTCGACTAACACTACAGATTAATAAAAAATGTGGTACAATTAGGAGTTCCTGGCCTAAAATCCTAAGAAAGTGAAACACGAACAGTACCCACACATTTCATCACCACAACCCTGGCCTTTGAATTTAAAACCTCAGTTACTGAAACTGTCAGGTCTTCACTGCCATTCAGCACAAGCTGCTACCAATTTATAGAGAATGACTTTCATTCTTAAAGTTACCTGGAGTGCCTGTTAAACAGGCAGCTAACTTTTCTACAGCCTATGTTCAGACGTCACACAGGAATATAGTTCATCTGGCCATTACAAAGAAAAGGCTGTGGACTGACTTCATGTAATAACATCGCTCCCTACCCCCCACAATTAAATTTTTTTTAAATTTCACAGATTTTAAGAACTGTCATGTATTTTTGACATTCTGTGTAACCTGGTCCAAGGAACCAATGCCACAGCCATCAAATCAGTTAATTCCAACTGAGATGTTTAAACACGAACACAGTTACTGCACCCATGATTTTAATTCACTAGAGCTACTGAATTCTGGACACACTAATATGGGATTAAAATATTCACATTTTATATTTTGTTTTACAAGAGGAACTGAATCTTAGCCTTCTTACACTGTCTTTAGCCATGTTAACTGTAAAACTGGAAACATAAGCTACCAAGTTGGAACTGATGGTGACAATTACACCGCACACAACTGTTCACAGATTCATTCTGTGGGTGTTACCCCTATCTACTCTCCAAAATTGTTAACAACTTTTCTACTTGGTCCTTTACTTGAAAAATGTTTTAATTTTATTGCTATCACAACTATGAGAAAACAGGACGTGTCTATTTCTATATGTGGTCATGGTTTGTAGAAAATCAAGGCGGATATACAGCTATCCAGAAATCTGGGAGACTATATCACATACGGCTTTTCTTTTTTTGTTAGACTTCCAACAGAGCATACCTTTAAGTAATGTAGTTATGTATTATAAATACATAAACATGCAAGAGGGAGAGGGAATTCTTGTTCTCTCTTTCACACACCCAAAATTAAGTTGCCAGCATTGGAACTTAAAACATCAGTTTTCACTGGTCACACACATTAAACATTAGTTGGAACATATTAAGTTATGGAGTTAAACTGTTGACAACCACAGGTAGTTATCAAGTTATCAGAATATCCTCAGTGTGACTTCTTTACACACCAGAAATACTTGGAACTTCTCATCTATTACCTTGGCAGTTTTCATAGCACATAATTTGTCCTATCTGTACACAAAAAAAAAAAAGCTATGATCACGTTCTACAGCTCAAAGAAGTGATTCAAACCAGAAATTACACGGTGATAGTCACTTCTTCCTGCTTTCCCACTTGTATTTTCTAGAAACTGCTCTGTAATTTTCTTGTCTTACAATAACTGAAATCTTTCAACACATTACCCACATGTACATTCCACTGCGATTCCGTATCTACTACCTGATTTGCCTTTTTAACCAGCAGTATCTATCTACACATACAGCACCATTAGCAAAGCATCAAAGATAATGGAAAACAAAACTCATCTCTTTGCATAGATCTTCTCTGAACTAATGCTAGAATAGGGAAGAGAAGGAAGGATAAGGTATGTGTATGTGGATAACATCTGGAATAATTCCACAAGTAATCTTTTTTTAATTTCTTTTTTCTCTTGGCAGTGACTGTCTATACCAGATTCTGCAGAGGAAAACTCCAAAGCAACAGGCAAACTACTTGCAGATAGGACCTGTGCTTCATGGAAGCAATCACTGAGGCATCACTTCAGAAACATACAGTACCTTGTACCATAAACCCACATGTATACTCAAGGTATTCAAATTGGTCTAAAATGTAAAGCAGATAAATTTCCAGTAATGCTAGGGATGCTGTCTGAAATCCAGGGGAATATGTTGTGACAGTCCCCAAACAGAACTGGCTTATTTCACAGCAAGAGATGTATTTAAAAAACTCCAGATAGAGACTGTCTGTAATTTCACCCTTTCTGTTTTGGAAAGCAAAGCACCAAGGAGGTGACCTAAATGTTTTCACACTTTAACAAAATTTAAGAAGTGCATGACAGGATACTTTCAACCCTTGACATCAATAATTTTGGGAAAGATACAAGAAGGCAGATTTAAAGGTCTGGATGGAATCCTGCAGCCATCTTCAGCAGAAGCTGGAGTGTGTTTTAAGGTCACCATTCCTAGTGGGGTATCACATAGGGGAGAAATGCAGTTTGGTCTAACTGCCTGACATGCCTCTTTGCTATGAAACAGAAGCTTGTCAAGCACCAATCTGAGAAAGCACTACACCAAAGCCTGAGTCCTGGGTCTACAGGAACTATAAAGACTACATAATAGAAGTCACCAATGGAGACACATTAAAGAGAATGATCACGTAGTTTTTGAAGAACATTAGCAGGGGAGAAAGGGATCTCACAGTAATACACCTCACAGGAGGCTGCAAATCAAGAGGGTTGCTGCTAAGTGTACCTCTAGTGAAAGCAGAAAAAGTTAAATAAATTGCTGTTACTCCTCTAGAAGAGTAAACTGAGATGATAAACACTAGCACGTTCTACAGTATTGTGCATCTTATTTTATACCAAGAAAGAAATCCTATCCAAAACAAAGACTGTCACACTGAAGTTTTCCTTCTTTTGGCTAGACCACAACAGCAGTTCATTTGGGTTAGTCTATGACTGAGCCATCCAGCATAAAATGAACGGTAAGAAATGATGAGACCTCAAGCTTCCTCAACCTATCCCCACAATAGAAGATCACCTTCTCCTGCGCAAGACCCCACCTGCAGTGCTGTGTTCAGATGTGGGGCCCCAACATAAAAAAGACCTGGAGCTGTTGGAGAGAGTCCAGAGGAGAGCCATGAAATTGGTCAGAGGGCTGGAGCACCTCCCCTGTGAGGACAGGCTGAGAGCGTTGGGGTTGTTCAGCCTGGAGAAGAGAAGGCTCCGGGGAGCCCTAACGGCAGCCTCCCAGTACCTGAAGGGGGCTACAGGAGAGATGGGGAGGGGCTCTGCATCAGGGAGTGTAGGGAGAGGACAAGGGGTAACGGGTATAAGCTGAAAGAGGGCAGATTTAGACTAGACATTAGGAAGAAATTTTTCACTGTGAGGGTGGTGAGGCAGTGGCCCAGGTTGCCCAGAGAAGCTGTGGATGCCCCATCCCTGGAGGGGTTCAAGGCCAGGCTGGATGAAGCTTTGAGCAACCTGGGCTAGTGGAGGGGGGCCTGCCCATGGCAGGGGGGTGGAACTTGATGATCTTTAAGCTCCTTTCCAACCCAAACCATTCTATGATTCTCCACAGGCCTGAAGGATCCTGAAGGTGGTCTGTAAGCATACAGCCCAAACCCAGAAACAAGGTTTCTCATGCAACATTTCTGCAATCAATGGGAAGAGCTGAAGAACAGAAAACACATCTGACCTAGAAGAAATGTCAAATCCTCCTTGTCGCAACAAGAGGAGATTCCCATTATGGGATCAGGTTGGTTAGATGCAGGGTACACTGCACCTATCCCCTGTAAGACCTGAAATCCAAGAAGAGCCACCATTGCACCAACAAAATGGTATTTGTATATCCAGTCAATTAAATCACCACTTTATTTCCACATTATCTTATTCTCACTATACATCCATTTTTCCCTTCCCCCTTCTCAAATGTTGTCTAAATCACATTTTAAATTCTTTAATGTAAGCCACTTCAAAGCAGAAAGACATCTTGTATAATATTGCTTGCTCTTTCAATATGTAAGTTGTCCATTTAAAAAAAAAATAGAGATAAAAATTTAGTCAAATTAGTGTCAGGTAGTAGCAACATTCCTATGGTTTAATATTTTGATGCCTTTAACTAAAAAACAAAGAACAACACTTAAAAAACTCTACCATACCTACCTGTTAAACTTTGAATTGCGTGTTGGTGACTCTGCTCCTCTTAGAAGGTGTCTGAAGTACTACAACAGACAAGGTATCAAAGAAAACACTGGGTTAATTGAGGTATGGGCTACTATGCAATGACATTGGAGAATTTGGGAAACAAGAACAGAAGTAAAAGGCAAGCTGCTCGTAATCTATCCGTTACGTTATCTGGAAAAGGACAGACCAAATTTGCAATACATACTCCCAGGACTACTTATTTTACTTTACATAGTCTTGGATTAAAAAACGAAAACCAAAACAGAAATAAAACTAAAATTAAGCAAAACCCATGACTCCTCCTTGTTAAAAAAATCGAGCATTTGAACCATTATAGCTATTATGGGAAAGATGACCATCAATACCATTTTTGAGAAATATACTTTATTATAAAGAATAATTCCAAGTAAGGTAAGTACCCATTCCCAGGACAAGTCAATATATTGTGCTGCAAATAAATGCGAGAAGCTTAACATGCAACCTGATTTACACACACAAACTCTAAAAGAGAGAAGAATTCAGACTCATCCCTAAAGTGTTTCCTACTGGAAGCCTTTAGGCAGCTGTCGGCCCAGCGTTGGGGTTTTTTTTTTTTTTTCAACTTGCTTTAAGAGCCCAATCACAGACCAATCTCAAATGCCTACGGAATTGCTTTGAATGACCTTCCGGAAAACAGACACCTGACTTTTAGCTGCTGGAACACATAATGCTGAAGGTACCTAAATACAACTTTTGTATCTTTCTTTAAGTACAGTTATATTTTAAAAAGTAAATAAAGAGATTCTTAAAAGTGTTCTACCATGTAGATTACTTTTGCACCAAATTTGCAACCATAAAAGAAAGGGTGGAGAGGACTTTGTAACAGCAGTGATATACCCAAATTGTTACATCAAAAAATGAAGAATTTTTTTTTTATTCTGTTGATGTTGTGTTGAACTAGAAAAAATGCAGTTTTCTTACTGAGATTGGTCCCAGCTCTGGCATACTAACTCAAGTGGAAAATGGAGATATATTTTTCGGTTCCACATGCACATGACTGTTGTAAATAGGGTATCCTAAAAACAATACAATCTTGCTTTAAGACTGCTCTTCAAATATTTCACACTTACCTCATCGCTGTGACAGAACATAGGAGTAAAAACATTCTCAAGTAGAGAAAGTACATGCTCATAAGCTTCAAAAAGACACCTCATAGTCTGAAGTTTCACAACATCCATATATGGACCTTCAGCAACTATTAAAAAAATTGCAAATATAAATATATAGGCATATAAAGTTTGCGGGTTTTCTGGTCTGAGTTTGTGATTGCTTTGCAAGCTACTGTAAGTTTGACATAAAAAGAAATAAACTAACAAAACTAGGGTAAAGCACAACATAGCAAGGGGTAACAATTTTTAAAACTATGACAAAAGTAAAGGGTGATCATATTTAGTTGAATTAGTCTTCACTTTATTACAGAATGCTGTTTGAATTCCAGGGTAAATTATTCCTTTCAAATTCAAACTTACTTCTTTGAATCTCTTCCACAATAAAAGGGTCAAATCTAATTTTATCAATGCTTTCATCCAAACAATAAGTATTGTAAATTTTCTGTACTTCCTCATGCAGAGACATCTTTTCAGTATCTGATAGTTCTGGTCGCAAGATTCGGTCATTGAATTCCTCTGAGAAGCAAAGGAAAGAAAATGCATTTATTGATCCACTTGGCTAGCAAATAGCACCTTGAAGCAACCTATTCTATCAACTCATTTTCCAGCAGCCATAATAATTTGTAAAACTTAAAATTAATAGAAACAGAAGACATCTCAAACTCAGGTAATAAGGTAGCTGCCTTCTTATTAATTATAATTCAGATTTGTTTATGACATTATTACTAAAAATATATTGCAATTAAAACTAATTATTCCTTATCACAGTAATGATAAATCCATGAAGCTGTTCCTGGCAGAAGAATTACTCAGAAGAATTAATTTTTTTTTCCTAAAATACCAAATTGTAAATTGTAGTTTTCTTTCAGCATGATTTCCAGTTCATGCTAGACACACAGAACCCCAACAGCCCTTTACACCATTCATCTGCCTATTCTGGTGCTATTTCATTCCTAAGACCCAACCCATCATAATATTTTCAATACTATCTTTAATATCAGACTAAGTTAAGAATGAAATTCCCTGATAAAATAAAAATCCTACTCAGCACAATTATTGTGCAATCCTTCTTGATTTATTGGCCCATCCTGTTCATGGCCTGACTACTGGGAGGAAAGAGCGGAAAATAAGGTAGCGTTTGATGCATTTTTCAATTAATAGAGAAAACCAAACTTCTTCACAGAAAGTCTACCAAGACTCTTCTGGGGTTTTTGGGGGTTTTTTTTCCTCAGTTAAGTGCTTCTTATACAAAACATTTCTATCAAGTGAAGAACCACCTACAGTAGACAGTTTGGAACAGCAGAACCCGAGAAACCTAAATCTCATTATTTGTTTTATAAGCTAATATACAGATTTGCCAAGTATGAGAATGTAAGAGAAGTTTAGAAGGAAGAAAACGCTGAGGTTTACCCAGAAAAAAAAGACTGATCGTGGGCAATAGCCACAGTTTGAGTAACCTTCTTGCTAGAGGAAGCAGCTCTAGAGAGCTCTAGAAGGGTCAGCTTAGAACCACCTGCAAGCACCAGGTTTTGTTGGTTTTTGGTGAGGAGTTTTTTGGAGAAAAAGCGAACATGTTTGGAAGGATTATGAGCACATAAGAAGCTGCATGCACAGAGATTAGTTATATTTATCTTAGATAATGATTAATGATTTCTGCACTATTTTATGAGAAAAATCTATCTATTCTAATTTCACATCTTCCTGATATATGTATGGGCTTGGGATATGAAGACACATCCATTATTTCCTCTGCCACAGGGAAATACTTGTTTACTAAAACCAAAAAACCCATTATTTTGGTAAGCCAGTAATTAAAAACTAGTTATCAAAAAACTTGAAATAAACCACTCTAGCTTACTGAGACTTCAGAAAAAACCTTATCCCTGGAAAGCAGAAGGCTTTTCAAACAACACTTGTGTAATGGTAAAACCAAATGGATGCTTCATGATGAAGGTACAGGTTATTGAATAGAAGGTTTCAACACCTTTAATGTTCCTGTTAAGCTTCTGTTCTTTGCAGAAATCAGAATTTTAAAGCTAAAAGAACATGAGAAGCTTTTAACGTTGAACAGCTCATTTTAGTAATACTTTAGTAACCACAGACTAAAAAAAGCCAGCTGTAATTTGTATCAGTGGCCAGAACTTTTTTCTTACAAGAATATTGTATTTTAAACTGTACAACCTTTACCAATAAATAGAAATACATTTAAGACCTACAGTCCACACTGACATCAGTGTTGCCAAGATTAGCATTCAAGAATCAGGACGTATCAAAGTAGGTGAACACAGATCCTGAAAGGTAATCTCTTGCTTAAAAATGCTGCCTAGTTCTGAGACCGAATATTCACTTCAATATGCAAATGCTTAAAGATTTCACAGATCATCAAATATACCTCAGCATACACATGCAATCTTACCTACAGTCAGGCAGAACTGCAGCACGTGGACTGCCCCTTCCTGTTTCAGGAAGTTCATAAACCGAAATAAAAGGTCTTGCTGATCTCTGATCTCCTTTAGCTCCAGTTTCAGGACCTTAGTAGGTTAAAAATGCAGTCAGACAATTTTCAAACTTTCAGTGAGTACATAAATGATGCAAAGAGTTGTAGAACAAAAACAACAGGTAAAGTAAAACACTTATTCAAACCAGGAAAGGAAATAAATGTTGCCTTTGCTTACAGATGGTTTTTTATTTCTTGGCTCTGCAAATTTCTGAAGGAATGGAACCAATGAAGAAGTAGGTTCAGTTGCTATCTCAGGCTGTAGAAAAAATTGATGAGAGACAATTGAGTAAGAAAGCTTCCTTAATGGGTGAACAAATTACTACTGTTTTAACTTTGTCAGTACTCACTGGACTATCATCAATGAAGATCAGCAGCAAATGGTTGACAGTGTCCTGCAGGAAAACACAAGACAAATTTACTATTAAAGAAACTCAACAAATTAGCTTCAAATCATTTCACTACTATGTCATGCTCAAGTTTAAACCTGTGAATATATTAATACTTTAAAAAAAAAAAAAAGAAAGAAAAAACAAAGCCTGGCAATACATGTTTGAGAATTAATCTTCAATGGTCTCTTCAAGTATTTACAAGTCAGGGAATTTCTGAAGAGACCTGCACAGAAGCATTCTTACTCAGCAGAGGAACACTCTGCAAAATATTTTTACTGTTAGTGCAGACCTAATGAATTGCTCATACTTCCACAGCTACAGTAACTTCTGCTTGCAGCTAGGTGACACCTTCGTAAGTAGTGCCATTTTAAATATTAAAATACATGCATAAATAAAATCAAAGGTGGCAGTGCACTTTGATTTGCAGAATTAAGGACAAAAGAACTGATTTCAATACAGCTGCAAGAAAATCTGGTTTACTTTCACTGCTATAAAGATACATACAGCCAGAGTTCAAGTAACTGAGCCCTTGTTAAAATGCACTTATACCAATTTGAAGGTGCTTATACCAGCACAGCATTCTCCCATTTGACAGGAACTGAAGTCCTTCACTAAAAATACATTCTTAAGAGATCATGCCAGTACTGTATTTCAGTCAGCCCAGTCAGTTAAGCACTCAAACCAGTTATAATGACCAAACAAAAACATCGGCCACAAGATTTCTTTTCCTTTTACCCAGTCAAAACGCATAGCAAGTCAGTCATTGTGCATCATCTGCTTTACCACAACACATAAAAAAAATAATATTGAATAAACTAAGGTTATTCCTGTGTTCCAAAGTCTTACAGGATCAGCTAAAAAATCCATTGAGGGAAGGAAAACAGAACCAGGCAGGATCTCTCTTATTAGAAGAGTCAGGGATCTGAAAAGAAAAAAAAAAAAATCAGAACAAATATTAGATTACATAATTTTCTAAGTGAAGTTTCCAATGCCATTAGATCTTACTGGGAAATATTTTAGTATTTAATAATACCTTAAGCGTGATAGAATATTTTTAAGACCAATCAAAAAACTCACAAGCAAAGGGATAAGGAGGAGGAATGAGGACCATGACTTTGCAGTTCATTCTTTCACTACCCAAAATTATTGTACTATATAGTATGCAGATACTTTAAAAAATGCAATTCTAAATAATTTCTGTACCTGCACTCTGTTGACTTCGGGGGCAAAATATAAGGAAAAAGAAGTTCAGTAAGTTTTCTTAAGTAGTGAAGTTCATCTCTTCGGCTTCTCAAAGCAACATGGAGTTCTGGTCCATATTCTTCTAAAGCAGCTTGCTGTAAAAATTCTGCATTTTTTACTGCAAGTAAAAACCAGTATTATGAGTTGTTTCAGCTTTTTCTTATTATGAAATAAGAGGTGATTGCTTTTCATTTGAGCTACAAAGTTAATACTTTTCATATATATAGGACTGCCAAAGGGACACAATGTTGAAATTTTACAAAAGAACCTTGGCTTAGACTTTGAAGCCTGGGTATGTAAAAATAAAACTTCATATTGAAATAAGATTTCTTCCACCAAACAACTGCAGTTTGCATGGCTTCCAGAATGTTTTCTCATTTATAATTACTGAGGAACTCAACATCTTCTAAAAAACTGAACTGTCCAAAGTCGCCTCTACTTGCTTTTTTCCTGACCTCCTTCCCAGTCTCCTGTTTATTGGGCTTCTGCCTATTGACTTGCCTACAATACAATTTGAAATCAACATATAGGTAAACTTTTATTCAATACTGTTATATCCCTTTCCTGCTTAGAACATTCAGAAACAAATGTGAAGGAACATAAATTTTAAACACAGCGTAAATCAAACCAAAACCAGCATGGGGATCTGCAGGAGCTCTGACTCTTGTAAGTAGCTACATGGAGCTGAAAGAATACCTGCTTTATCAGATTAAAAACTATACATATTAATTAAAACCAACAATGTTCTATTCCTTGAACTCGCTTCAAAGGCAAGAACTGAGCTGTAACAAATCCCACCCTAGCTGCACGAGCAATCCAGCACAGCCTCACGCCAAGAACCACACCAGGCGCAGGGCAGGTACCTAATGCAGACTTTGTCCCCCACAACCAAGAACCATGAGTGGTACCAGCTGATACGGGGGATGCAGGAATGTGTATTGCCTGGTAAGTCTGCACAGTTGGTGTCACTAAAAGCATAGAGAGAGCATGTGCTCTCTGGCAATGACAGGCAATGCATCATGCAGGTGTCTGTGCAGATAGTGAGGAATTACCGAGAGACACAAGGGTAAGAAGAGTAGGAAGAAAGGAAATGCCTCCTAAAACAATCATCTGAAAAAGGATTTAGAAAATAAACAAACAGAAAAGGCTAGGCTCAACTAGCAACCAAAGCAACCTGCAAGCTGCCTCTGAATCATGTATTATGGTGGTGGTTTAGCAACGTTTACTAGAAGGCACTCCTAAAAATCATCTTCAGCTGCTGTTTCACACATCTGCCATCAGGGAACAAGTCTTTTCCTTTAATTTTCAATGCCATACATTTCAAATAGAGTTCTTTGCTGCTGAAGTGTTTCCAACTCCTTAGTAGAAATCAAAGGAAATACAAAATTTGGCATAAACAGCACTGCAAGATAATCTAGTATCTTGAACTTGCTGTTGTGCCATGAAAAGCATCTAGCATGATCACACTATCTATCTCTCATTATTCATGTTACTCATTACCCACTACTCCCAGGACCGATGGCATATATTTATGTACATCAAGCAGACATTTTGAGGGAAGGAAGGAAAGTTCATGACTCCAGTGAAAGTAAACATCTATGCTTAAAAGTTGAATGAAACCACATTTACTAGATACAGCACTGTGGAACACAGCCAGTGAAAAAAATAAAGTTCCAACAGCAAGTGTTCTATTTTCCAAATACTCCTTCAATGTTCAGTTTTAATCTAATTTTTACATTAGGCTTGTGAAGATATTTTTATTTAAATAATAATTAAATATGCTACTGCTTAAAGTCTCTCCATGGCTTATAAACATAAACCTAACTTTTCAACATATTGAACAGCACCACTAACTGCTTGTGTTAGTGTGCAGATGTGAAATCATTCTAGCTGTAAGGGTTACAGTTACATTATAGTGCATGGCCATGCAAATCCTTTCGTTTATAACTGCTCATCCGGAATACAGAGGAAAAACCTCAAGATGCATTGCTAAATGATCTTGATTGCTCTGAATAGACAAAAAAGACATTCCTGTTTACCATACAGAGAAAGCAATTTAGTATTTTGAACGTAGGGAAATGAAAACCAAACTGAGAGATTGTTTGTACCATAACTTTTTCCCTAATTTATCTTTGGAACCTCAAGAAGAAAAACAAAAGGTTCACTCTTTGTTTTTTGAAGAGAAGACAGTGAGGATGAGAAGATTTAATAAATATAATAACAAACATGCAAAAAGAAACACCTATACTTGCCCTTTGAAACTGACAACATACGAAGTCTTTACCTTTCTGCCTGGCCTTGGCTATCACTTCAATGTGTTTCATTGCTGCCTTGAGCATTTTCTTTGTTACAACAGCTGGAATATCCACCTAAAGAACAGTTTTATAATAAAAACATAATTGTTTTAGGTTTTTTTTTTCCCCAAATTTATTACCTACAACTGCCACACATATTAATTTGCTTATATGTCCCCCTTCTAACCATAAAACAAACCCTTACAAAACAACCCATAAATTCTCTAGGTGAACTGACGGTACGCTCATTCTTCTGGGCAAAGCATACAATATCATGTAGAACTAAATGCCATAAAAAATACTGTTAACACATTTATTGTCGACTTGTTCCCATTATGATTCTTCCATTGCAATATTTATAGCTATACAGTTTGATATCCAAGTCACAGTATATGACACCTGAAGGTTTGACCACCAACAAAAGCAACAACGCTCTGCTTCTAGTACTCGTGTACCTTAACCCTCAACAATCATGTCCACAAGGGCTAAAAGCAAAGTGAAACCCTCCTCTATATATGCAGAAAAAACATCCCAGCTCAGGTGACAGAAGAACCGAAAGAAAATTTGAGTTACTGAGTCAAGATGACCATGAGTGCCAACAACAGTATCATGTGATCCTCCTCACGGGTCAAATGGTCCAGCCCCAACCATCTTGATGGCCACTTGGTCGAACTTGCTCCAATCTATCAATGTCTCTTTTGTGATGGGGAGCCTAAAACTGGATGCAGTATCCTAGATGCCACCTAAAGAGCACCAAGGAAAGATGTCTAATCACTTTGCCTGATCGATTGGCTCTGCTCCTGTTAATACAGTCCAGGATACTGCTGACCTTCTTTGCTGCCAGTACACACTGCTGGCTCATACTCAGCTTACTGTCTACCATGTGGCCACGTCCTTTGCAGCAGAGCTTCTCTCCACAGCCAGTCAACTCCCCAGTCTGTACAGTTTCAAGGGGTTCTTCTTTATCAGCTGCAGTAGTTTCCACAGAAACTAATCTAGAAACTGCTTTACACTTTGTATGCCCTTTATTTTAAGCAAGAACAAAAGACATCTCGGAGAAGCAGAAACAGGTAGTTGTAAATATTCAAAATTTAAGACTTCTGAACATATTTTTTTCCCTAATGGAATTTGTCCCCCCTCACTGCTAAGTCAAATAAAGACCTTAATCATAGAATCATAAAATGGTTTGGGTTGTAAGGGACCTCAAACATCATCAAGTTTCAACCCCCCTGCTATGGGCAGGGACACCTCCCACTAGCCCAGGTTGCTCAAAGCCTCATCCAGCCTGGCCTTGAACCCCTCCAGGGATGGGGCATCCACAGCTTCTCTGGGCAACCTGGGCCACTGCCTCACCACCCTCATTGTTAAAAAACATCTCCCTTATATCTAATCTAAATGTACCCTCTTCCAGCTTAAAGCCATTACCCCTTGTCCTATCACTACACGCCCTTGTAAAAAGTCCCTCTCCAGCTTTATTGTAGGCTCCCTTAAAGGTCCCAAAAAGGTCTTCCCAGAGACTTCTCTTCTCCAGGCTAAACAATCCCAACTCCCTCAGCCTGTCTTCATAGAATAGGTGCTCCAGTCCTCTGATAATTTTTGTGGCCCTGCTCTGGACTTGCTCCAAAAGCTCCATGTCCTTCTGTGCTGAGGACTCCAGAGCCAGACACAGTACTCTCTGCGGAGTCACACAAGAGTGGAGCAGAGGGGGAGAATCACCTCCCTCGACCTGCTGGCCACGCTCCTTTTGATACCCCCAGGACACGGTTGGTTTCTGGGCTGCCAGCACACACTGCCGGCCCATGTTCAGCTTCTCATCAACCAACACCCCCAAGTCCTTCTCCTCAGGGCTGCTCTCTATCCATTCTCCACCCAGCCTGTATTTGCGTTTGGGATTGCCTCGACCCAACTGCAAGAGGAGAGAAAGCATTTAAGTATTTCAACAAATACTTAAGAGCTGACTGGCCTGAAGTGCTTGTCACTTTGTTCAACAACCATTCCTCAAAAAAATCCACCTAGACAGCCTTAAACAGAAAACAAAGGAATTATTTTCATTGAAGCAATTTTAAGTCTTAACTCAAAAGTAGAAGAGTCTTTGGCAAAAAAGTATACAGATATAACCTAAAAAAAGGAAAAAACAGTCTTTCTTACATATAGTAGTTCCTGAATTTAAAAATGTAATCTCTATTAGCTAGACCATTGCCTTCAAGCATTTAATAAATCCAAACCAACGTACAGCTGTTTGGCAAAGGTGTAAGACTATTTCATTTTGCAATCAATGATGAATTTCTCCTGAAATGAGGTTACAAAGAACAATGTATCAGAGCCGAAAGGCTATAAAATATTCTCTCATAACTCTTTTTGGTTAATTACTGAAGCTTTAAACTAGGATTCCTAAAGTGACAAAAAGTTGGTATTTTATTTGCAACTTGCATATCAACTCTGATTTCTATGCACAACATTTTCAGGAGTATATGCAGCACAGCTATTAGTTCAGGCTGTCTGAATCTGTATCTGGGTGTGTGCACACACAGAAACACTTATTCAGCAGAAAAAAAGTACGAGCTGAAAAAATAGCATAGCATGAGACACCATGCTCCCCTGCATGACTGAGCACGCCAAGTTTCAATTTTGTTCCAAAACACAAAGTTATTATGAGTACCTTTTTGCTTGAGATATCTGTACCATTTCACACACAGAGACAAAATAAATTATATTATTCTCTAGGATGGATACAAATATATCTGAATATTTGTAAAGAGAAATGCATTTCTGTGCTGGCCTTTAGTTTGTAGTTCCCCGACTGGGCTTAATACTTGTACGTGTCTTGAGTTTTTGTTGCATGTGTTGTCTACCCAGATACATAGAATTGAACACATTGCTTCATTACTGTCAAAGGCAGGTATGGTAAATTAATACTCAAAGATACTAGAGCTGATCCAAGATAACATGATTAATACCTTATTACCCACTCAAAAGAGGAGACATCACGACTTTCTGAATCAACGATGGATCTACGAACAATGAAACTAATACGTGCATGCATTTCAACTCCAAATTAAAGACCCTGATGTAAATTTTCACTCTGAAAGATTTACTCCACTTTCACACCTCCATATGATGTCTGTGCTACACAGACGTTTCCCTTTAAAAAGCAACATGCTTGAGTTAGAGTAAACAAGAAAGTCATCTGGATTTGATATATAACAAGGACAGAATCAGACTGTGAATCAGTCGTGACAGAGTACATGTACAACTTGTAGTTCAGGAAACACTGCTGTTACTAAGAAGGGGAGAAAAAAAGACACACATTTATGGTAATTGTTCCAGCAGAGGGGCCAGCACTGAGTAAATCTGGAAACTCAGTTAGCAACTCTTCCTTCTTAGAATAGCCAGAAATTTAGAAGCAGTTCCTGTAAAACAGGCTTGAAACACTTTACCAGAAAACGGAGTATATGTGCTAGTGTATTAAACACAGTAAATAAAAAATTTGAATCTTTAGTCTTCAGAACGTTTCTTAAGAACTATATTAATATAAGAACCATACCTGTTTTAATTCTTATAGTATGCTGTTCACTTAATGACACTTTATAGACAATGTAAGGACCTTGTCTGCATTTAAAGAAGTCAAGCAAGCAGAAGTTACAAGACAGGTACACTGCTAACCGTTTTCTAATAGCTCTTTTTCGATAATTCTAAAAATTGTTTCCACTTGGATTAAGTCACTAAAAGACAGCTAAAAGATCATCTCAAGGTTTTAATAATGCTTTGCACTGCTACAAAAAATAAATCCATTTGCAAGAATCACATAATCATAGAACTGTTTGAGTTGCAAGGGACCTTCAGAGGCCATCCAGTCCAACCGCCTGTCATGGGCAGGGACATCTTTCACTAGATAAGGTTGCTCAAAGCCATGTCCGATCTGACATTGAACACTTCCAGTGATGAATCTTCAAAGATGGTTTATAACCAGGAACAGGATACACTCCAGGAGCGAACAGATAACACAAAGAAGAAACTTAGATGGAAACTGCCTACACCCTCTGTAAGACTGACTTTGGAATCACTGTTTTAAAAGAATTAAAGAACTCGCTACAGATAGCTATCAGTTATCTCTGATGGAAAAACAATGTTAATACCTTTAAGTCATCTTACCTTGTGAATTCTCCGAACTAAAACAGATGCAAAAAACCGCAGAGTGCCTCTCAGTTCATCCACTGAGGATTCATCATCAGTAATATTTCTGCAGCGTTGCAAAGAAAACAGAATAAAATACATTTATATTAACCCAACCACAATACATTTGGCACTACTAAAAGCTGGAATAAGAACATTCAACGGTGATGCTACAACTGGTATTAACTGAAATTAAAGCTACCACGTGTGGGCAGACAAAGCAGTCTTCTATTCGAGTAAAATACACAGCATTCCCACTGTGTACGTACACACAACAATGGCTTGAGAAATATGTCAGTACATTGGAATTACATACCAATTCCTGCTCTAATACACTGTATGATTTTGACCAAGTAAAATCTGACTTAGCTTCCCCTTATGTGAATGTTTCCTAGTTCAGGGGCATCAAGTGAAATTTAATTCATATCGGCAAAGCCTTTGGAATAAGAGTACTGCAAGCACATACCCCACTTAAGCTAGTCAAAATTGGATTTTCCATACTGCACACTACGAGACCTTCTATACTTCAAGATTTCAAATAATTTTCTTCTGTTTTAGTACAAATCTGGCTTTGTTAACTTCTTGCGAGTTTTATTATAAAATTGGTAGTTTCTCATGTAGCTTTTATTGAGATGGGTACATCCCTAGTATTTCAGCTCAGCCTCTTCCAAGAGAAAACTTTCATTGATATTTTTTCAACAAGTTCTAAAAGTTAGGTGCCATTTAATACCATAATATTCTCTTTTTTAAAATATAAAATTGGGTCTATATCTGGTCTAAACAGACACTGCCATTTCCCAGAAGGGTAAAGAAAGCATAGCACAGGAAACCAACAAATGACAGAACTTACTTTTTGAAAAGCTGATCTACTTTTGGTGTAGCATGAAACATGAAACCATCAATTACAAAGAAAACAAAACAAGAACCTCAATCTAGAGCCACTTGGAACAGAAATGAAATGATTTAACATGGTTTCTGCTCAGAAATAAAGAAGAATTTAAACAGATTCCAAAATTAATACATCAAAATATAATCTGAACTTATTATCTGTCTTGCCAGTTTCCATCTGCTGCAATAAAAGATATTCCATGAAAAATAATGGTAAAAATAAAGTTGATTCAGGACGAAAAATACCTAATTCCATGTCTTTTTTTGGGAAACTGAATGAAAATGGGAAATACACTAAGTCCTAGATGCAGAAACTGCAACTAAACTGAGTGGAAAAAGAAGAGACCATGATAACAGCATTGCATAAAATGCAACAGAAAGAATAAAAATCTACCAGCAGTTAAGCATGTACAGCCATCAGAGTATGACTAAAGATATTGGTAAAGCTGCATTAGAAGAGCTGAGTAATGACACAACTATGAAAGTTCTATCCTGCTTTAGCTAATGACCCTGTGTGAAAGCCATCCTAGTTTTCAGCAATAAATGAGTTTGCATATGTAATAAATGCAAACATTATTTGCATTTAAAAAAAAAATCACTACAAGTAACAACAGTACATTTGAAAAATAAAAATGTTACGCCTATAACATCATTTTACAGTATTCCGCATCTGATTTTTTTAAAGCAATGTTAGCCTGGGTTATATAGCATTCAAAGGCATGTTGAAGATGAATTGCTAGGTACAGATACTGATGACCTGACGGTCAAACTATGCAACTAATTGCATGAGAAAGCACCTCAAAGAAAGCAGCCTGGCAAAAGGAATACAACCATCCTCCAAAAGTTAATCATATGCAGATAAGAATACTGCAGGGGAAGGTTTGGTTTGTTTTAAGATCAGCAGCTGACATTTTGAGAAGCAAATACCCACACTGTCGAAGGAAGACAACGGACTAGCAAACAAACTGTATGACTGTATTATTCGTATTTAACAGACAACAAGATACATATGAAGTATTTTGGACCAGGAAGCCATTTTACTGGCACTTGGATAATTTTGGCTCATTCTGCTTGGACATGACTTTATGCCACGTACTTTCACAATGCGCCACAGGTTTGCAGAGGCATTCTTTTAATCACCAGCAGACTGAAGACTGGTGAAAAAAACATCAAAAACCTGTAAAATCTCTAATCTCTAGTGACACAGCGGAAGGCCCAAATAACTCGCTTGGCAATACTTTAAAAACTGACTGCATTTTCCCAAAATTTGAGGAAAACCTTAAAAACACAACTGTCACTACAATGGAGAGATTTGCTAAGAGAGAAAGGCTCAGTCTGTTAATTGTAAACAGTTACTGAGTCCAATATCTCAAAAGAGATGATACACCCAATTGCTAGTGCATGCAAAGTCTTACGGGAACTACCGATAAATGAAAACCATATACAAATACTGAAGTGATTTTTTTTTTCCCTGTGTGCCAATTATACTTACGAAATTTGGCCAACTCCTATCAAAAAGATGAAAAAAAACTTGCAAAATAAAAACTGTAAAGCTATGGTTGGTAATTCAACAAAAATCCTGATTTTTTCTTGCTTTACTTGTATTTAAAATAGAAGCAGCTACATATTTGAAAACACCGGTTTGGGTCACATAATACAACAGTTTGGGTGGGAAGGGACCTGTAAAGGTCATCTAGTCCAACCCCCTGCAATGAGCAGGGACATCTTCCACTAGATCGGGTTGCTCAGAGCCTCATCCAACCCGGCCTTGAATGTTTCCAGGGATGGGGCATCTACCACCTCCTTGGGAAACCTGTTCTAGTGTTTCGCCACCCTCATAGTAAAAAATTTCTTCCTTACATCTAGTCTAAATCTACCCTCTTTTAGCTTAAAACCATTACCCTTCCTCCTAACACAACAGGCTCTGCTGAAAAGCTTCTCTGCATCTTTCTTGTAAGTCCCCTTTAAGTACTGAAAAGTCACAATAAGGTCTTCCTGGAGCCTGGTCTTCTCCCAGCTAAAGAACCCTGACTCCCTCAGCCTGTCTTCATAGAAGAGGTGCTCCAGCCCTCTGACGATCTTTGTGGCCCGCCTCTGGACTTGCTCCAACAGGTCTTTGTCCTTATGTTGACGGCCCCAGAGCTGGATGCAGTACTCGGCGTGGGGTCCCATGAGAGTGGAGTAGAGGGGGAGAATCACCTCCCTCAACCTGCTGCTAATGCTCCTTTTGATGCCCCTAAGACACGGTTGGTTTCTGGGCTGCCAGCACACATTGCCGGGTCATGTTCAGCTCCTCATCAATCAACTTCCCCAAGTCCTTCTCTTCAGGGCTGCGCTCAATCCATTCTCCTCCCAGCCTGTATTTGTGCTTGGGATTGCCTCGACCCACGTGCAGGACCTTGCACTTGGCCTTGTTGAATTTCATGAGGTTTGCACAGGCCCACCTCTCAAGTCTGTCAAGGTCCCTTGGGATGGCATCCCTTCCCTCTAGAGTGTCGGCCACATCACACAGTTTGATGTTGCTGGTAAACTTCCTGAGGGTGCATTCAATCCCACTGTCCATGTTGCGGACAAAGATGTTGAGCAGCACCGGTCCCAATGCCAA